ATTTAGTTTCATTATTATTGTTATTGTGAACTGCTTAACTACTTCCGCTAATTTATTTCCAATTTGTGTATTGGATATGTTGAACTGAATACACTTGGTTATGATTCGAGATTATGTCATTGAGTATTTGAATTGATCGTTCTGTTTGAGATATTGGTTGAAGTCTCGATTACTGATATGTAGATGTTATTTGGCTTAAGTTGTATCTTAAACTTCGTGATCATGTTTGTTTGATGTTGAGTAATGCCCAGAAAATGATATTAAACTGGATAAACATTTTTGAAAAATTTATTCTTATTTTTTAAAAGTCCGACTTTTTCATTTTAAAATAACGGGGTGTTACAGTATGGTATTAGAGCAGGTCTACGTTTTAGTAGATTGTCTAAGTGTTCATGTTAATGACCCCTCATCTTCGTTATGTCGCGCCAGTTCAAAGGTATGAATTTGAGTAGTTCTGTTTTTACTTGCTTACAATATTTTTGGCTTAGGAATTTACCCTCTTTGGATTATTTTGAACTCTAGTTGGTGATTATTTTGTTTAATCTCGTGTATAGAGATGCCGCCTCGCCAAGCTGTTAACCCGAATGCTCTGCAAGCTCCACCCTCATCGGATCGTGACCACATTCAGAAGGTCATTCAATTCCTCAACATGCAGCCGCCGACATTCACCGGGGTGGAGGGACCTACCGCTGTGGCTGAGTGGATCCGTAATCTTGAACGGATCTACGACTTGCTCTTATGTACCGACGCCCAGCGTATTGCATGTGCCCAATACCAAATGGACGGAGATGCTGCTTCCTGGTGGTCACAATATTGTAGATTGAGGCAGACTGAACGTGCGAACCTGACGTGGGAGCGCATGAAAGAGATCATTCTGGAGAAATACTTCCCACCAAACTACCGGGCTAGGATGGAGAGAGAGTTTTCGGACCTACGCCAGGGTACCCGAACCGTGGAGGAGTACGAGCGTGACTTTGTTCGTATGAGTGCCTTCGCACTTCATCTGGTAGACACGGAGCAGAAGAAGGCTACCAAGTTTCGGAATGGGCTTCGCTCGGATATCTGTCTCTTGTTGACGGGCCATGGTGATCTACCATACACCGAAATGGTGATACGTGCACAACAGCTGGAGAGTTGTCAGGCTCTTCATGCATCCATACCAGTCGTCCCACACATCACCATTGCTCAGCCCATCCCTGCCGTTCAGCCTAATTCTAGCTCGGGCAAGAGGAAGGCCGACCATCACCGTGATCAGAAAAAGGAGAAACGTGGGGGATCTGGCAGACGAGATGATCGCCCACCTGCTCAGAACACTCTGGGACAGAGATGTGGTGCCTGCGGGGGTTACCATGCAGTAGGAGATTGTCGTGCCGTTCATCGGACTTGCCATAACTGCCAACAGATGGGACATTATGCGCACATGTGCCCACAACCGAAGAGTCAGAATCAGGGCAACCCGCAGCATAATCCTCAACAAGATCAACCGAGGTTTGGAGGAGGGGGCAGAGCACGTGTGTACACGCTAGCCCAAAATGAAGTTGAGCCGAACTAGGAGGGAGCAGCTGATAGAGTACCTTAAATGTGGAGTGGTGTTTCTATGTTTTCTTTAGCTTTAGTTTTTCTTGAACTTTTGCAAACTGGTGTTTATTTTATGTTCCAGTGTTGACTATGCTTTTAACACTTTGTTAACGAATAAGATTGAGCATTCCAGATTTTTCGCTTGTCTTTACTTGTTCGCAAAGGATGAAATTTTAAATTGTGTTGCAGCTAATAATCTAGACATAATCATTGGAGCAAAGACGAGAACAATGCCAAGGTTGACTTACATGTTGAAGACTGAAGATTCTGCAAAAGGGGGGGTAGTCGAAGGATTTGAAGATCATCGTTGGAAAGGAAATGAACTAATACCAAAGGACGTGCAAATTCAATCTTTTCAAAGGAGCCAGAGGTAGGACCACATGTAAGACGGCATAGGAATCAACTCAACATCGGGAGCATCAGCCTTTAGTAAATGAAAAGAATGAGTACTCTTTATAAATCGAGTGTACTTAGTCACTAGAGGATTTAGACTCGGGTCGCCGTACACCGAGGGTTGCCGGTATTCAGTCACGCAACAACACAAAGAGACGTACCAATTGATGTGTAACGAACTTTAGCTACTGACTGTTGGTGATGCAGACGTTTCTGCATGCTGGTGCTGCGCACAGGCGTGTTGTGATCGATGGGGCCCCATCGTGTCACAGACGTGCCGTGTGCAGTGTGCCGTACGCGGCATGCTATGTTGTCGCATATAAGGTCAGCAAGTCGTACCACAATTGCTAAGTCGTCAGCGTGTGAGGCGTACCGTCCCGGACATCTTTGTGTGTTGCAACGATCTAGGTCTTCCCACAAAGGAAACATCGAACAATGCAGTATATCGAGCTCTGGGGAAACAATTATGGAGTTTTCTCGGTCGCATTGCTTCAACCAAGGGAACCGATGAGTTTATCGTAGCAAGTTAGAGGCAGTAGATAACCGGAAAGTTCCAAGAGACGCGATTGAGACTCGTAATTCCTGGGACTAGCCAGTCATTATCGAAATTAGTACGAGCTCACTTAGGACTGACCGTATGATTCAATATTGTCTATGCTGTGTGCATAGCCTTTTCAATCTTGTGGATTTTTAAAATGGTAAATTGCAAAGTTCTGAGAACTATAGGAGCAAAGTTATTCTCATGCGTGTATTCCTTTCCTTTTCTTTTACCTAGAAACTGAACAAGGAGCAACATAAACGATTATCCGATCTGACGTTGACTTTCGGGGAGACCAGCGGCCTAAAGTGAGCCTGTGTTTGTGATAAAAAATTATAATGTGTTTCGTATGATGATCTAGTGTGCAATATTTTATGCAATAATGTGCAATTTTAGTCTCACTTTTTCACCTTTTGCCTTTGCAGGTATATGTTTCGCTTTGTCGAGTGTTTTATGCCAAATGTTTAAATTTTTCAAGATGATATATTTTCATGGGTTTGCTCTCTAATTGAATTTATCATCTACATAAGGTAAAAGATATAAGAGTGATCATTATTTTTGTAGTTGATATTTAGTAGATGATTTTTTTTTTTAAGGCACGAGTACATTATTGTATTTTGCCATATAGCCTCTCAGCGTTCTATTTTTAATATGAAATCTCCCCTATATATAATTCTTGAATATGCCGAGCCTAATTGGTAGACTCGTAGGTTTCGGGATTTTAGGTGTCAAAATTTCATTCTTCATTTTAGATATATTAATTGTATTTTAATATCATTTCCTATTATAACCATTGAATTGTAAATGTATTTTAAACGTTGATAACTTTTGTATTTCTTCTCGGTTTTACATATATAATATATCAAATTAATCATCTTTTGATGAGATTCGATTTGACATCATATGTATATATAAAATAAATAAATTATATTTATCTTAATAATAATAATAATAATAATAATATTTATTAAACTTAATTAGAAAAATAAAATTCTTTCTCAATTAATATATGTATGTTTAATGTAGTTATATGTTATAAGTTAGAAAAAATATTATAATATAACACAATTCGCACAAACAACAAGTGTCATACTAAAATATATAATGATATATATTTTTATAAAAAAAAATTAATTTTTTAACCGCTTTTTCTAATTAGTTTTAAATTTGAAGAAAAAAAATTTAGCAAGCACCCGTGTAATACACGGGTGTTGAACTGGTATGTTTTTTATTATTTTATTTTATTTTTTGAGTTCAAAATTTTGCGTTAATCAAACATATTTAAAAAATTTATGTATTAAATTATTTGAACACGAACGAACTCAAACTTTCATGAAGAATTAAATGAACGAACTCCAACACGATTTTTTGCTCGAAAAAATAAACGAACGAACACAAACACTGTTCGAACGTAAACGAACACGAGCTCGAACAGCCCAAGCTCGATTCAGTTCGGTCGTTTACAGCACTACCCCTAAGCGTGATAGACCCTTTACCGTGAGTTGGTGGGCTGCAGTGAGTAGTGAAGCAGTGAAGTGAATGTGGGACAGTCGACAAAAAAAA